TTAAAAAAATGCATTTTCAAGAAACTTCACCATAAAACATTAACTGTGTTAGTCGAATCGACTAACATTAGTGTTCCAGGGTTAAATGGAGAAGACTATTTTAGAATTTATTGTGAATTCCTTTGTCACGATAAACACTTTTCATACGCCTTGCAGGATACGACTCATTAACTTGGCAGACAAGGCCCTTTCGACGATTCTGTTCGAAAAACTGAAGCCCTCCAAGAACGAGCTTGTGAGATCTTATCAGTGTCGCTTCAAGCCTGTAAAACTCCTTATTGAGCTGGGCCCGAATCCGTCCGCGGATCAAAAACCATACGAAAGAAAATTACGTGATACGTCAGTCGTATAAGCTTAATAGGATAAAGAGTACGTATGTGACGGTTCGAGACTTGATTTTTATAGCCCGTCAAACCTTGGGAAACCCCTCGTTATTAAAAGAACAAACACAACCTTATTGTCCAATTTGGAGTTACTTTCACCACACGATGAGAAACTGCCTCTACGACGCCATGTCTAAGTTTAGTACTCCCCCAAAACAACTTTTAAGACCGTCAAAAGTTTTAGAAAGTGGTACCAACTTTCACGGATCCAGCATAAACACCATCAATAGTGTCAGATTGGAGTTTCAGCGTAGAATAAGCCTTGCCCTCAACCGACAAGAGATTGTACAAGAATTATTATTATTAATGCGGTGGCAAAATGCATATATATATATATAGGAAAGCGACATTTTTTAAAATTTTGGCTATTTAGTGTTTAATATATTTTTATAAAAGTATTTATCGTTATCTAACAAAACCCACGTAAGTCCAAATATCAAACATACCAAAATTGGGAAAGTTCTACAAATTTTTAACCAAATTGCATATAAAATTTTCAAGCTTTTTAATCCGACTTTTAGAAAAAAATTAAACTGCTGTGCAATAAAGTGTAAGTTAAAAGTGGCTACAAAACACCGTTTACTTTTTTTGTTTCGTTTTCGTTGACAGTGTTAATCCAAAAAATTAAAAACTCGAAAAAAAAACGGCTTTAAAGTTTATAGTTTACATGGCCTCCCATAGCAAAAACAAGACTAGTTTTCTTCTAACGAGGTATGGTTTATCGATACAACTATGAAATTGTTTACATAACATAGAATAAAAGATGGAGATCATTTCTGCATACTTAACAAAACAAGAGTTTTTTTAGATTAGATATAACACTCTTGAAGCAAATGTGCGATATGTTCACCTGCAACAAAAAACTTTCCAAAAACTAACCGAAAGGCCTCGCCTCTTCCAGCTTGCACTGGATACTCAAAATATTTAAGAAATCTATTTAAATAGCTCGAAGTTTTGATTTAAATTTGTCCTAAATTGTGTACAACGTTTAAAATTGGGACTTATTGTTTTTTTTTTATATAAAGATATGCTTATGATATAAAAAGTTGTGTTTTGTAGGGAATGGGGCAACGAATTAAGACCAATTTTTTTTTAAAGCTATACTGAACTTAAGAGTGCACGAAGTACAGTGCAGTGTTCACTTTTGCTCCATGGTGTACATAGTATTAAATGCGCTGTTGGTCACAGCGTCGTCGTTGCTTTGGGTGTTTGATTGCGCGATTTCACTAACGCCACTGCCAGTTAAGCCGCATAGGTTATTGGGTTTTTCTAGCGCTCGTTTTAAAGTAGATACAATTCGCTTTCGGCAAAGCATCTTATCAACGGAGGATTTGTATATTTCGTATAGTGTTTAATACGCGTCTTTAAATTGTGACAGTAAATTTTTGTTGCCGCCCTATATTGTGCATTGAGTGGAACAAAAAGAAAACTACAGAAGTAAGTATTGGCCAACTTGTGTTCTTCACAATTTTTGTTTGATTTCGTTTGGATTTTCATGTTTCATTTATGTTTTTTGTTTGTATTTATGTGTTTGTCTACCTGTCTTTGATTTCAACACATCGAAACTTCACATCAATATGTTTCTACATCTGTATACATAGTGCATCCGGTAAAATCGATTGTGACCTTCAGCAGACAAAATCTGTGTGAGATTTTCTTTTTGTAAGTAATCATTTAGTATTTCTAATATTTTTTTTTAATAAGTTCTTTATTCAATTGTACTACGTTGGCCTATTTTTTATTATTTTTATTAATTGTGTTAGTGAGGCGATATTAATATTTTTTTTTTGTGTGCTATAAATGTGATATACATATGCATGTATGTATGTACATCCAGGAAGTGTCTCGGTGACCTTTTATCTAAACCAGAGGTTCCCAAACTTGTTCTAAAAAAGTTTCTTCAAATGTCTACGAAAACAAGAAAACACAATGCAAACTTTATGCTCCTTTAGCTTTAATTTGAGGACTGAAATTGTTTTGATGATTTCAATATTTCCTTTAAGCTTATTTGGTGCTTTAACAATTTTACCCGGAAATTATTTGACGCTGAAAGCTTGCTGGTATATTTGTTTTTTATGTAAGCATTTTTTTAAAATGCACTCTCTCACATAAAATTGTAAAAGTAAAAGTCACTAGTATTTTTAATGCAATCTTGCCAACAGCAGTGTTTTCTGCATACACTAGCATTCAGAACTCTCTGGGTCCCCTTCGTAGTATTTAATATTTATTCAAAGTGCTGTCTTCACGGATGTCCAGAAGGTTTTCAAAAGTTTAATTTGTCATCCAGTAGGTTTGCTTTTCGGGTCACATGAAAACGGGTTTGTTATCCAGCTGTAAATATACTCAGAGTCAAAAAAATATTCGAAAATGGTTTTTTCTAAACCTTCCAAGTTAACACTGGTAACGGGCGTTAACGCTAAGAAAATAACTTTTATCAATTTTCTTAGCATTTTTCTGATTTACTTTGTTTAAATATTTATGGGGTTTTCATGCAAATTGCTAGACATTCTAAAATCTACATGTCACCCTTAAAAAAAATTCTCGACCTGCTATAAAAAAAGCCAAAGATGTATTTTAATTTCGCACGCCTCTGTTATCTTCGCAGCGTCATCCAATACTGGTTTTAAATCTTGCTTCATCCTAGACATCGCTCCTTTCGTTTTTCCAACCACTGCGGCTGCTCCATCACTGTAAATATCCGCACACTTGCTCCATTTAAAACCAAATTTGTCGATAGCTTCAAAAATTTCGTCGCCAGTGGTGTAAGTCTTCAAGTGCATTAAGTCCTACTACGTCTTAGTTGCAAAAAAAAATCACAATTTTTCCAAATTTTTATAAGTTCGTTCTCGACTGCCTCTAAAACTGTGTTGATTCGCTCTTTCGCAGTGTGATTGTGACGTTCCAAAGAATAAGTAACATATAGATACACCACACAAGCGGCTTAGCAAACCAAGTGAAATATCCCTTTGCTGCAAACCATTTGTGTTGTGTATGGGAAGTTTAAAGAATTTGCCCACACCACTAGTATACTCTAGCCACTAGCGACGCCCCAGGTACATGCTCGTGGCACTCCAGGGTACCGCGGTACGCACTTTGGGAAAGCCTGATCTAAACAACGCAAAATTGCCATACATTTGTTATCGCCTCTCATTAACCCTCAAAACGTAATATAAATTTAGATAAAAAAATTCATACATACGTATGTATGTGCGTATGTATGTTGATTCATCTTTAATGTAATGCTCCTTACGAAACCGATTGCGTAGCAAAAGCCCAAAAAACGTAACGTAACTTACGTCGCTCTCTTAAAAATCCTGTTAAATGGATGTTGCTTATAATTGAACAGCCGAAACTTAGTAACTTAATGCCACATCGAAATCTGTTTCATTTTGATTCTCTAAGTTCTACGTTTCGTTAAGTTAAGTTAAGTTGCCACAATCAGGCTTTTACATGGCAGAAATACACTTGGAGGTATGCCATTGCCTGTTAAGAAAAAAACCTTTTTTCGGTATTTTTTTGCGATGTTGCTTTGACCAGGGCTTGAACACTGAATTTGTTACAACACATTTTTGTAAAAATCTCCAACGCAAAGTACGAAGTTATAAAAAAAAATATTTCCCAAAATTTGTGATGTTAATATTGAATATATATGTATGCGCTGCGTTCACAAAATATCGAAAAATATATCCCAAATAAGGATGCTTTTTCAGGGAAAATAAATCTAGAATCATAGACGAATGTTTTAAGATATGTTAGTTTCTATGGCAAAAATTAGAAAAATTCTTTTTTATCCAGTATTCGGCGCCCATATAAGCGATATCGGCAAATTCATCAGAGAATCAATTTGGTTTGACCGACAAATCTACATATACATTCTAGAGATGTAACGGATAGTGATTTGGCCGGACACTGGATACCGAATATCCGGAGAGCCCGTATCCGGCGGGCGGATAACAAGTCCATTGTCTTTTTCTTAACAAAATGAATGAATTTCAAAAGAAAATTAAATTTTAATTTGGGTTCTCAATAAAGCTTTTGATTTTTACAGTTTCCTTTAAAAGAAGCTTTCACAAGCCTCATCGATTCGCCACTTCTCTTCGGACGCTTAACGAAAAATTTGTATGTGAAGGCAACAAAACAGTTAGCTAGCAACGATGGACGATGGCGAGTTTGATTGTACCTCTTTAAAATCGCTCGTTTCGCCACTCGCCAAGTGTTTGCGAATCGATGGCGGCTGCTATTAATATAAAAAAAGCCTAAAGTTCAAGCCTTTATCAAAGCTGGTTAACATTTACCTATCCCTGTATTTTCACATGAGCAATTCTAAGTTGCTTTTTCTACAGTCAGCCGATCCCAAGATGTTATTGCTTCCGTGTATGTACATACTTAGGTGTCGGCCCCTTTTATTTCTTTTGATTCTTCAGAGAATAAATAAATATTTTTTGGCGTTGATAAACACATTCTTATTATGTTATCTGTTATACACACTATATATATTTTATTATTATTATTTGAAAAAAATATATATATATGTATATGAGGATATACATAATCAGGCAACCCGATAACCAGTCGGGTATGAAAATTTACATACATTGTACTCGAAATACTTCTTAAGTTAAATAATATTTAAATGCACTTTTTTGATCACTTCTTTTTGTAACTAATCTGCCTATTCGATAACTTTCCTATTTCTAAGCCGCGCAATCTGCTCTGCACTGTAATCCAAAAGCTCCGCTAACACTTCGTCTGTATGTTGTCCCATCATTGGTGGAGCTGTGCGTGCATCATTTTTTGATTCACTGTAAACAACAGGAGGTCCCACCACCTTTACATTTCCATCGCAGGGATGTGGCAAGGTTTTTACCAAATCAATAGCCTTAACATGTTCATCCTCAAATACTTCGCGTATACCATTGACTGGTCCCACTGGAAATGAGGCGCCGTCAAAATGTTGCATCCAACTCTTGGATGTTTTCTTTGCCAATAGATCCTCAAGCAGTGCTATCAGTTCTACACGATTTTTGACGCGATCTTTATTTGTTTTGAATTTTGAGTTTTCTGCTATATCCGGAATTTTAAGCAACTGGCATAATTCTTTGAACTGTTCATCACTACCAGCGCCAATTGTTAGATAGCCATCGACAGTTTTGAAACTCTGGTACGGCACAATACTCGAATGGGCTGTGCCCCAACGTTGCGCCTCGATACCAGCATTCAAATAATAGCTGCCAACATTAATAAGCAGCGACACCCCCGTTGAAAGCAGATCCACGTCGATTTTTTGGCCCAGTCCTGTGCGCTGCCGTTGTAAGAGCGCGGCTAATATTGCGCCATGCGCATACAAACCGGTAGCCATGTCGGTTACCGGCACGCCCACTTTACATGGTGGACCATCACGTTCGCCGGTAATGTGTAATAGACCAGCCACCGAAGAGGCAATAACATCATAGCCCGGACGTTTGGCATAGGGGCCCACAGACCCGTAACCCGTCATAGAACAGTAGATAAGATGCGGCGCAATCTTGCGCAAATGCGCATAGTCCAAGCCGTACTCAGCCAACTTGCCTGGCACATAATTCTCTACGAGCACATCACATTTCTGTGCCAACTCATAAATGACTTCTTTACCACGCTTCAAATCGATGGCGACGCTCTTCTTATTACGATTGACCGCTTGAAAATAAATCGAATCTTTACTCTGTGACAAGAATGGTGGACCCCATTTGCGCGTCTCGTCACCACCGTAAAAGGGGCGCTCAATCTTGATTACTTCAGCGCCCATGTCGGCCAATATCATTGTGCAGTAGGGGCCAGAGATGATGCGTGTCATGTCGAGAATGCGCACGCCACTGAGTGGATGAGCGGCAGTGACGGCTTGGCTGCCGCCGCCATCACCGGCTGTGGCGAAACGGCGATATGCTATGCCTTTTGAGCTGACTGTGCGGCCGAGTAAAATACGCGAGAAACATGCGGTGTAGGGGGCGATTTGAAGCATTTTCCGTTTATCTTTTCACCAACTTTGTTGAATTATTTGTTTGTCTTTAATTTCAATTTCAATTCTTTGTTATTGCATTAGTTGTTATGATTAGGCGAGACTGTATGTATATATGTGTTGGGCTTTGTGCACCACTTGTTTATTTATATTTTGCTTTGCATTCGCTTTTCTCCGCTCTTTGAGTGCACTTTATCGAGCTCGAATCGTATCGCGTAACCGCTGCTCTTCAGGTTTTTTACACAACTAAACTCAATACTAGATATTTATTCCATTGGCTTGTAGGCACACCTCGGCGGGAGAGTCTTATCATTAATATGTGCTATCTATTCTCTTTTATGATATTCAAGATTTTTTTTTTAATTTGTGTGCTCGCCGCTTATGTCTTGACGTGTTTCATAACATTTAGCGCTCAAATTAGTTTACTCTGACTTTGATAATTTCACTGCGAAACAAAATCAAAAAATACCGTGCCCTTTTTGGCACTATTTTTGTTCAAACGGCGCCTAATGTTTCAATTTTGCACAAGGTGCCAAAATGGCACTTTCGATAAATAGTAATAAAAACAATTTCGCTTGACTAAAGTGATATATATATATAGGGGAAATTTTAAAAGTCAGTGAATTTTATTTTAATTTCCCGCGCAGTAATTTTAAACGCAATAGCTCTGATCCAGTACTCCATGAACTTACAGGTTTTTACACGAACTTACAGGAAGTTACAGGAAAACTGTTCCCGTACTCCAAAATTCTGTAAATGAGTGCGATTTTTGGAGAGTGGTGTAGAGAATGGTAAAATAATGAAGTTGTTTGACGCTTTTACAGGAAAGATGCTTTGTTTGTTCCCGTCCTTTTTTTGTTAGTATTGGATCACGAAATGCTGGAGGTCGTTATGAGCACTCACTTCCCGGGCTGCTCGGACGACAACTCCGGCTTTTCGCCCGGTCCTAGAACCCACTTGTCTCTGGGTGATACCGTTAGGGAAGTCGTAAGTGAGGAGAGGGTTGAATGGGTTTTAATGGCCTTTCAGCCCTACAAATCTCCGGGCCTTGACGGAATCTTTCCCGCTCAACTACAGGAAGCTAAGGACATACTGTGCCCCCTGCTTTCTTAGATTTTTACAGCCTGCCTAACCCTGACTCACATACCAGATGAGTGGACAAAGGCAAAAGCTGTATTCTTACCAAAAGGAGGCAAGGCCGCACATGTGAAATTGAAGGATTTCAGGCCTATAAGCCTCACTTCATTCTTTCTCAATACTCTAGAGAGGCTCACCAACGGATATATTCCACAGAATATAAAAACTGACAAACTCTTCCCGAACCACTCCACGAAATCGTATCGACGATTTTTGTTGCAGTTGCAAGGACAGGGAAAAGGTGGAGACCGTTAAACACTATCTCTGCCATTGTCCCGCCTTGGTCAACACGCGCAACCGATTCTTCAACAAGTACTTTCTAGATTGTTTAGCCGATTTGAATTAGGCGAATGCCCTCGCCTTTTTGTGCTATATAAAACATACTCAGTGGTTCATAAACTACTGTAAAATTTGTGTGTTCACAGCCACTGAAAGCAGACAATCTCGTGAATTTTAACGAAAATGGGAAATAGTCAATAAAAACGTGTTACAGAAAGCAAGGGAAGCGTTGATAAATAATACGAGGATTTTGCACCATCAAATTCAATGGCTAAACAGGTGGTTTAATGAATTTCGTTGTGGTTGTACCAGCAAAAGTGGCTCCAAACGATCAAGTCGACCAAAAGACGTCGTCACGCTAGAAATCATCGATAAAATCCATATTATTTATAATAATATTGGATGATCGGAGAGTGAAATTGTGCGTGGTGGTTGAAGCTATAAGCAGCTCAACTGAGTAGGTATATCACATTTTACGTGAATATTTAGATATCAAAACGTTATCCGCGCGATCGGGGCATCCTTGAAGGAGTGCTTGGCTACATGAAAAATGGGTCGACTTCATATACCAGAGACCAAGGAATAATCAAGAAATGCACCAAAGTAGGCCAATAAGGCCGTTGCCAAAGTTTTTTGGCATGCACGCGGGGTCATTTAGATCGATTAAAAGGGCAAAAAGATCGCTGGCGAATTTCATGCAGAGAGACCACATTTGGTCAAGAAAAAATAGCTGTTGTATCAAGACAATGCACGGGTGCAGACATCTGAAGTCGCCATAATCACCAGATTTTGCGCAGGGACTATTTATTTATTGCATTTTCTTTTCTCGAAATAATGTCGCATTTAGTCTGTCCTGTGCCAGGGCTGTCAAGTTTTCGTGTTGCACTCTGATAATGTTGCCATATAAGAAGGTGAAATTTTTTTCGAGAAAGAGAAAAGAAAACGCCATTACTCTTTCCAAATCCAAAGAAATGGCTGGGCGGTAGAAGATTCGGGACAAATGAAGAGGTCATCATTGAAACGAACGCTTATTTTGAGGACCTTAAAAAATTGGTAAAACGATGGACTAAATGTGTCGAGTCACCGACTTGGCAAGCGGCAATAAAGCAACTTTTTGTTATTTCCCAATTGAATGTGAAATAACACAAATTTGTATTATTTCATATTTCAAAATTTTATTTTTGATGCGGAAATTTATCTACATACTCTAAGATTATTTCTGCATCAAAAGAAAATTTTTTAAAAAATGTCGCTTACGTCTTTTTGGCGGTTAGGGCTCGATAGCATAGAAAAAATAATAATTCAGTAAAATATACTTAATTTTGTAAAATGAAATAATATAAGTGATACAATGCACTTGTGGGCAGAAGTTTAAACTTATACGGATGCAGGTGGCAACAAATTGTTTTCCTATCTGAAGGAATTTGCACTTCATTTTCTCTCACTACCTTGGTCTAACGCAGACCTGGAACTTTATTCAGTCAGCTAAACTTGGAGAAAACAAAGCTACGCAATAGTATACACTTATACTATTATACATGCATTGTTATATTAACTTTGTTTTTTAATTTCTGATGAACTTATATCTCAGCTGTATTATTCGATTATTAATTTTAATTTCAGGTAGTGTTTCAAATGAATTGCTCAAAATTATATTAATATAAACCTGTTTTGTTTTCAGTTTTTGTTTTGAGGAATTTAAAATTTTCCCAGCGGGTTTTTATAAAAATCTGGATTTTTTACTCAAAAATATGACGTTAAGTGAAATAAAACCATATGGCGTTATGTCCTATGGCCTTATTACACGGCGCCTTTGCAAACATCGATGTTAAATTTGTATCCCTACATACTAGGCAGCCGACATGATAAAAAGAAAATCCCAAAGTTTTATTTTTGTTAGGCACGATCCACTTTATCGTTCGGCATATTAATATTATTTTTAGCACAATTATAATGTTATGGAACTATACTCGCTCATTAAGTAAACAAAAATGCTTAATTACTTAAAACAAATTTATTATTTATTTTGATGCAAAATTAATCCATTCAGAAAAAGTGGGTATTTTAAACGAATTATGAAAAAATTTGATATCGAGGAGAAAGGTCAGAACAACAGTTGCTGCGCCGCAGATACGATCCAAAAAATATAATAATCAGTCATATGTTTAGCATTCAGTAATTTATTTTTATTGTTGTGGTTAAAAAATTAAACTGGTTCAAGATTTGCACAACGAAGGTGTATAAATACGAATAACAAAGGGAAGATAACGAAGGAACTGCATGCAAAAAAGAAAGATGAGTGTACAACATAAATGGCGAATAAATATTTAAGGCAAAAAAAAGTTAAAAATGTAATACCACAATACCTGTATATTTATATGTAGGTACGTACATACATATGTATGTTAACAATTTCAAATACTGACCTTTACCTACATTACAATTAGTGCACTAACACATACTACATGTGTACTATATACGAATGTTCATATAAAAAAAAAAAAAACACTTTAAAATATTCATTAGAACTAAATCAAGTTTACTTAAATTATTTATAAATATTTAAAATGTTATAGGAATATATTTATTTAGTATATAAATTAGACCGAGTCGGTCTCTTCGATTTCCAGAAAACTAGAAAACGGGAGTAGCTTTTACTTTTCCTTATCGTGATTGGAGAAGTTTAGTCTTGTTCATACATTTATCTAGCGTCTAACCATGTTTTGCATTTTAGTTTTTTTCGCATTTTTACTGTTAGGGATATTGGTCGAGTCAAATAATGCACACCATCTGTGTTAACTGAAAAGGCCAAGTGAAGCCGAGGCCTTTACTTCGCAGAGGAGGCGAAGCATTTACGCATTCTTTTAGCAAATTTCCAACTAAACCAAATCAAAAATAATTTTTGATAAAAATGCATGTTTTTCCCGGAACCAGGCACAAAACAACGCGTGCATAAAACAGTACTCAGACTACATGCCGTCCATTAAACTGTTTTCATATCCCTTTTAATTCGGATGGGATTTAAGCTTTTTACTTGTGCAAATAAGTATAAAGTAAGCAAATTTTGATAGATGACTAGTTTTTAATAAATCTTTGTTCAAGTATTGCTTTAAATTTTAATATAGCTACTGAAATCCATAAGTGGGTTTTACTTAAAATTCTACATAATTTTGCGAGTATAAAATTTTTTTAGTGCTTACTTTAAAAAGGTCCAAGAAATTTGCTGCATTATTCATTAAGGGCCATTCACACCATCTTTGCTTAATTTTAACTCCCACTTAAACATGGTTATCGACGCTGTAGACTCCCCGCATAGAACATGTGATCGTTAAAGCAGTCAATATTTTTATCTGGACGTTTCAGCGAGCTCTACTTCCATTGTTCTTTTTATAGGCACAAAGCTTGTAAAATTTATTGATTTTTTATATTATAGATGAGAAGGTCTGCTGTCCATAGCTCAGCTTTTGTTGGGTAGTGAGAAACTCTTCATTATCTTCCAAATAAGACATTTTTGGAGTAAAATCGCAGGATCCACCAAATTTCATCAAAATATAATATTTCAACACTTGCGTGCTCCTTTTTAGAGTGGTGGACGATAATATTAATGGATTTTAACGTTCTTTAAAATTCATGCGTATCGATGGCTGAGTGGAATACCGACCTATCTCGGCAGCCAGTTCGAAAATGCCTTAACTCAGAAAACGTTTCAAGAACGCCCTTCTTCAGAGATTGATTGAAGAACGCCCTGTCTAAGAATACGGTTCAGAAATGCCCTATCTCAAACAAAAATATGTTGAAAATGTGCTGAGATAGGTCGCTTTTGAATCAGCAGCTGAGATAGGCCGTTTATTAATCAAATTCTAAAATAGGGCGTTGTTGAAAAGTTTTCTAAGATAAGGCGTTTTCGAACTTTATGCCGAAATATGTTGCTCCTCCATTCAGCCATCGATATACTCTGAATTTCAACAAAATCGGATATAATTTACCATTTCCACCCGCAAGGGCTATAAGCGTGGCAGCTGACCGACTTTTACCATTTTCCGCATTTCTTTATTCCTATGTACAGAAGAGAGCATACGTGAAATTTCTGCGAATTTCTAGTACGATTAATATTTTTGGCCGCAGTTTATATGCGGACGTCGCACTGTGCCCTGTGGCAACCGAGCATGTGAGTGGTTGGAGCTGTAAAGTGAGGAGGCAATCGCATTGATAGGAAGCTGGCAAAGTATTACAAATATCGGAACGGAATATCGCAAGCCACCTGTGACAGGACAGTGGGAGTTAGGATATCATGGAAAGATGTAACTTTTTGCAGTTACCGACTTCAGGTCCTGTAGACTGGTGGGAGGTAGAACCCCCATAGGTCAATGACTTTTACACGTCGGGGAGCGATTATAGCCTCCGAACAGAATCTAAAGCACGAATCGCTCTAAAGTGCTTAATTTATACGATAAGCACAATTTATTTAAGATTTATACGATAAGCAGAATAGATCTGTATAACCCGCAGCATTTTGAGACTCTAGACGCGGTCGTATTCAATTCCCAGATATGGTCATATCGGGTTTTAAAGGCTGCCGGTGTTTTGTACTTCCTTGTTTCAGGCCCTCGCCATTGCTGAATGACTTTGCAGTCCGCCCCTCCTACCATAATGCTCTGCAGATGTCGTAACCGAGGGATGGGGAGATAATACTTTAACTCAAACTTAAACCAAAAGAGTCATACGAAGTCTGCTTTACGTTAGGGATGAAGATGAGCTGTGACGTTATGCACATGTCAGTAATATGATTTACATTGTCGAAGATCATTTTATATAGGTGCGACAATTTAAGTAAAAAGTAACACATTTTTAAATTAGTTTTAGCTGAAAATCGGGTCAAATTCGGCGGTAATATTGCAAATGCGTCCTACGTTTTTTTATTGCATATACAATATACATACATACATAACTCAATTGCCATTAATTGTCAAGCGATGCTAAATGAAGCTGTCCTTTATTAATTTGGCAGGTTTTATACATACATGCAATAATTGGTTAATATACACGCGTGGATACATGCATACAAATCTTTATAAATATGTAGGTATATACATATATGAATTCTTAAGTGGTGATAAACAACTGTGAAAGCTTCCGGGAATTCCGCAGCTACAACCACTTTAAGGTCACATTCGGAAATTTCCGCACAAGTTTTATGAGTGCGAATATTTGGTGTTGTTTCGATTACTCAGATGGGGAATCCATATGAAATGACCTTTTATCCAATTCCAATTAGTACTTATAGTGTAACATTGAAAGAGTAAATCGGAACTGGATGACAATATACGCATGTGTGAAACCGAACGCTGCGTCATTTAGCTGGTGATGCCGTTTTTACTTGTGGCTGGATTTGCTGGCCATTTAGGCACCTTGAACTCCAGCAGCTACAATTTTATGATTTTACTTAACCCTTAACTTTTGACATGGGATCCAAATGGCACATACGTTTGTAGTTAATCAAAGCCAAGTATTGTAAGTTATTAAGTGAATTTGTTATGTTGGTTAGGTTAACCTGTGGCCGGCGTTGAGCCACACATAGACCAGTAGGTAGGGAGTTGCCAGTTGGAGCTCGTTTTTACGCGTTAAAGTAGACGTCACAAAGGATGTCAACGCTTTCTGCGAATTTAAGTAGAAATTTCAGCTCTACTTTTGAGATGTTTATGGATAAAAGACTATACGAGGTAACTGCCTTAATTGCACAGATTTAATTTTGATTTGATTGTCCTTTCGGTGTAGGCTAGCTCTGCTGCTATGCTCATTGCGAAAATGCCAGGTAATCTTACTGCCCGCCTGACATTAGTTCCCGATAGTAAATCCCGGCACCCACTCCCGATGACATTTTAGAGCCATCCGTGAAAACCTACGGCTGGATTTCATTCCTCTTCACCTTCCCTCCTTCTGAATCGGTGTGCGAAACCTTCGTTTCCACTTAAAGGCTAGGTGCCATGTAGTCCGTGCTGCCTATACTTCCCGCCCCAATTGAGCTGTGCCTAAAGGTTCTGAAATTGAATTCCCCTATGGCCGTCAATGTACCTGCTGATGGGCGGAACCTGAGGACTCTTTCAAAAGGATCCAATGGAGTGGACCTCAACGCTCCCGTGATGCCCAGTGCCGCGAGTCGCTGAACCTTCTTCATTGGCCTGAAATATGATGACTGTATTGTGGCATTCCACCCCACCAAAGCGCCATGGAGCAGAACTGCGCTCTGTTGAGAAGTAAATGCACAAATTCTCAATTCTCGTACAATACGAAAACAGCTCAACGGGAAGTCATCCGACTCTAGCATCGTTAGTCGCGAGTTCAAATCGCGGTGGAGACAGTTGTGATTTTCAAATTTAACAAAATTAAATTGTTGGGTGCCGCTTAAAAATTTAAGAGAAAAGGTGTAAATTGTAAATTCTGTTGTAATTACAGCTTTTCGATATTAAGCTTTGCTTGCATTTTAGGGCGCAAATTTTTTGTTGGTCCGACTTGGTTATTTTTTTTTTTTAAATATTTGTATTCCAACATAAGAATTATAAGTACTTTAGAATGATATACCTTTTTTTTTAAATCCGTGGCACTTGATTTGGCCGCACACTTATAAGAAATACAAATTTATTTACTTTTCGCGAATATATACTCGCAGCGTATGTTTACAAATTTGCATTAGATTTTGTCAACTCATTTATTTGATACGTGCAAACTTTGCATTGCAATAAGCAAATGTACATTGTACGTGTGTAAATATATGTATTTATTATTATTTTACTTGTTTTACTGATGTGAATTTATAAGTAATGTAAAATACTTGCTTTGCAAAAGTGTTAAATTTTTTACATATTTACAAATGTACAAATGTTCCTAAAGTGAGATGCATGATTCATAAAAGTCAAATGTAGTTTATACAGATTGTTTAAAAATTGATTCGTCTATGAAATCCACGAAATTTTTATACCCGAGCCCACATGTGTACAAGGGTATTATACTTTTGTTCACATAACGGTTGTTTGTAACAGGCAAAACGAATCGAGATAGATCTGGCGCAGCGGGTCGTTGGGATTCAGGCAATTTGAGTTTCGTAAGTGACGCGATAAGGTAATAGGGCTATCCACCTTTCCTAGTGAATAAGACCAGTGCCACCTCATCTGCATGGCAATAAGTTCCTTCAGTTCATCTAGAAGATCGGAAGGCCAATTTCGCAAAATTTTTGTGAATGAAGGCTTCCTATATTCCCTTAACTAAGCATTTGAGCTTTTAAAAGACGGTCACCAGAAATTCCGTTTATTAAATATATTCAAATCAATCAGCTCTCGAACGTTTCAAGCAAAAAATAGGGCAGACTGATAAGCCTGAAGCGATTAGGGAGAAACGTGAGAGCCCTTACCGGCTTTGCCATTAATTACTTTCCAATTTTGACTTAAGCTCAAAGACCTCAAAGTAACTGAACTGCACTTTGTATACAAATAAATGTATGTACTCTTACATATGTGTATGTGCACAGCGAAAGATATGCCCATGTTTATATTTATGTAAATATGCATTTAAAAAAACTCGCTTAGAAGTAAGAATATGGAAAAAAAACAATGCTGGTTTTAATTATCTTGCAGCCGCTATTCGATGAAAGCAATCTGCGAAGAAGCGGAATTAAACAAGAGATAAGAAATGAATTATCATTTTTTGCAACAAAACGAAAAAGGGGAGACAAACGCTCCTAAATGAGAATAGTTGAAGTATAAATGTCGCTTTTTCAGAGAGCGAGAAAGAGAGCAACAAAAATATACCACTTACACATAGCTGAGCGATGAACATAGGGAGCTTTTACTCTGCACCCATCTATGCAAAATTTATAGAAAGCTTAAAAGAGCTTTGAACGCGGGCAAAGCGGTGCCTATAGCCGACATACCTATAGCACACATAACCAGTTACATATTCTGGCTTAAATTAATTATTGTACTACCATATCACCTGATGACCGTTCGACCAACAAAGTGAACGCTATTTTTTTGGGAATCCCTCGCATCTAACTAAATTTCATTCCCAGCATAATGCTCTCCACTCAGCTGTCGTCATCCGCAATCACTCTTCTTTTGCTTACGAAAATAAAAAGTTATAATAAAAGACGCCCGCAAACCAGACCTGCTCTGCTCCATCACTCAACTTGCTGATCTCAGCGCCGCCGTTGTGCGATCGCCGGCTTGAAATGTATCGTTCGGCTTGTTGTTTATGTGCAGAGAGTTGCGCTTAAATGATATTGTTAAGTCGTTGCAGAAATTATTTGCTCAGCGTATTTCGAGCATTAAAGTTGTGGATTTTCGTGCGGCGCGACAAAGTGCAATGCAACAGAGAAACACCGAGTGCTAACCGCTGCCAAGCTGTGATTTTACGTTTGTGTTTTAACATTATATGTACATATGTAATTGCAACTCATTTGTTAATGGATTCTTTCCGTACAAAGAAAACTAAAAGCAAATACAAGAAATCGTAAAATTTTGGTGTATCAGTGAAATCGAACGAAAGACTTAAGCAACGAACGCGGCGGCGGTGCTGTGCATAGCTAGCATAGTACAAGCGGTTGCGCATGCGCAACATAAACGAAACGAAAAGGCGGAGAATAAACGCACTGTTTTATGGCCGAATAGTGTTTTGCAGTGATTTTTTTTTTTGTGATTTTTGTGCGTTAGACGAGTATGACAAAGCAAAAGAACTCGATATAACCAAGCAAAAAATAAAAAATAAGTTTGTGCCTTGCAAAGACCTATTAATTAACGAAAAATGTTACAAAATGACAAGCAAAACTAGTTACCATAAGTGTGCAAGTTTGTATTGAAAAAGTTTGTGTGTGCAAATTCAAGTCGAAAATTTATTAAGATAAAAACAAAAGTTTAAGGGAGAATTTTGAATGAACTGACTTAAATGCGACGAGGAAAATTTTTTCCTGCGAATAGTTGAGTTGCAAAATAATTAAAACAAACACTGAAAATAAAGAATATGCATTTTGCATTTTAAATATTAAGCCCCCTTCAAAGTAAATATGGAAACAAAACAAAGAGTTTGTGGCGAAGGCATCACACCTAAATATTTTTGTAAAGAAAACTGAGACAAAATTTTGGAAAATTGCCAGAAGCTATTATCTACTACCAAATACACTTCTATTATTACATGTGTAACGCGAAAATTCTAAGAGACCATCTGTTGCGAACGATTGCCACATCGAATGCAAGAACGTGCGCAAAGTGCTGCTAGTGAATTTCCATTAAGCCTTCGACGAGCTGGTTAGCGCTCCCGCTCCCGCTGCCACTGACACTGCCACTCCCCTGTCCACTCTACATACACGCGCATAAATACAGCTAAAACGAGCCATAAACCAAAAAAAGCCAAGGAACTTTGTGCTGCATGCCACTGCCTTTCTGATTGTGCAACAACATTTTGCCAAAGAAAACCAAAAAAAAAAAAACAAAACAGCAAACAAAAAGTACAAAGACACTGAAAAAAAGGAATGTAAAAAACTTAATCAACAAATAACCCGTACAACCAGCGAAACGCCAGCGTCCACATACGACGAAGAATCATATTCGCAAGTATTCGATATTCTCTGTCCATCCACGCGCTTGCATTGCTGTACACATATGTACATATATGTATGTATGTGTGTGTGCCAGTGTCCGTGTTCATGTGCATGCCATATTGCACAATCCTTCGCCGACAACTTGTGAGCTGCTATTAAGTGCACAGTGCACAGCGAGATTGGCAGTCAGCCCGACCAAAGCACTCCACCACGCTCCACGCCACGCCACGCCACGCCAAGCCACTGCCAAGCCTCTCCCCAAATGCTTGCGCTCTTTAGCTTCCCTACTCGCCCCTCCACAGCTGCAACTACATTTGAGCTGCTGTTGGTGTTGTGTTTGTGTATCTATGTCAATGCAAGTGTGTTTGTGTCCATCACTCGAGTGTATTTGTATGCCCAGAAATCCTCATATGCTACAAAGAAGCAATGAATATGCTTGCGAATTGGTTTTGTAATTGCAACCAATTTTAATAAAGTATTTCCAAAAAAAAATATATGTATGTAAAAACAAAAATATGTATTTAAATGTTTGAAAATGAACCAACCAAGATTTCAATAAAACATACATACATACAAAGCAATATTGAAATAAACCAGGCCACATACGAGTTGTAGCAACAATAAATGTAGTTGAAGGCGAATAATTAAGTACTTAAATTAACCAAAAACAAACCAAACTCACACGCGCACACACACATTGCGTATGTGTGTTTTGTGACCTACATACATACATACGTATACTATACTACTTATAAATATATATATACTTTTTCTGTGTGAAACTTGTTAACATAAAATCGCCAAAATTGCTGTGCTACTTTGTTCCAGGATTATGGGGTACATCATGCGGCGCTTTCTGCGGTCGGCCATGATCGTCTTCAGTTGGTTTGTTGTACCCTACAGTCGCTTTACCAACATCAAGGTGAACCGTAAAAAGCTGCCGCCGATACGGAGTCATCTGCTGGAAATACCCGCCGTTGATTTGGCCAAACTGATTCGCACAGGAAAGGTGAGTGAAATAAAGTTTTGGTTTCTTTTATAATAAGTAGGATAGCCTAAAGGGCAGAGATCACCAGCTGGACTATTGGAAATTCAAAATTCTCTCGGTATTGCCGCATTTCGTATATGTATATTTAATTGAAAAACGAATTGAAATAAGTTGGCGAACTAAAATGAGTTATGGCTTGGGAATTTCTGGCGCCAAACGAACTCATATATTTTCTAAGGCATTATTTCTATAGCCCAGGAAAAATTTAAAGGCTAAAACTAAGCATTAAGGCGTTTTTCACGAGGAAACTCTAAATGGTAATACTTTAAAAATAACTCGCCCGAATCGCTGCCTGGCGCTAAATTTTTTTTGTAAGAATGAAATAGAGGAAATACTCCTTGACCCGAAAAATTTGTCAAAAATGGTATTCTTCGAGAAAATTGCACCGGATTACTCAAAAAAAAAAATTATTATTTTTTATTTTACTAATATTAAAGATTTTGAGACGAGCAACACGTTCCACTGTTCGAAAAAAAAATTTGAACACCTCAATTAAAAAAAAAATGTAAATGCATTTTTTAAATTGAGGTGTTCAAATTTTTTTCGAGTTCTGAACAGTCGAATCGTGTTGCTTATCTCAAAATCTTTAATATTAGTATAATAAAAAAGAAAAACTTTTTTTTGGAATAAATTCGGTGGTTTTTGCATATTTTTTTCTTTCGAAAAACACTATTTTTGACCAGATTTTCAAGGCCAATTAGTAATTGTGGCTCAATGGCAATATTTTTCCGTGAAAGGAAATTCATTAGCTTTCAAAACCATTTTGTTTCATATCAAATTGTTGCTTCTATCGAAAGCGCTAAGATAAATTCACATGGAGTGTTCAAAAAGCACACTGTGCATTTGTAAACAGTATAAAATATAATAAAATAAAAAATCTATCATGGGCGTAAAAAAATTTTTATTCTTATTTAAATTTCTTTTGATGCAGAAATGGTCCTAAAGCAATAAGATGTATTTCTGCATAAAAAATAAATTTTTTTTTTAATTTCGTTTACGTCTTTTTGGCGGTTAGGGCTCGATAATTATTTCTAATTATCATTTAATAATTTTTTTTCAAATCCGATCCTTGACCCTTTAAGAAAATCTTCAACAATATATGAAGTAGTAATTTCCTTAAAATTTAGCCAAGTCTAAATTACATTCGATTTGAATAAATTACTTTCCGTCATGATATATTAATTGAAGACCCTTAAGAGCTGAAAAAATATGGAAATTACATTTGAACTGCCATGAATTAATGTTTATGATTTTAATTAGAAAATGTTCACTGTAGTCGCATTTGTGGTTTAATTATGTTTCTGTTTCAAAGCGGATCATTTGAAAAATAGCTCTAATAAATATTTATTTTAGCGCAAACCGACTTCATGCCCGCCAGCGAACACAACCTTCACTATACTTCAACTATTCTTTAGCTATATAAGTATGTACATAAGGGTGGTCCAAAAATGCATGTGAAAAAGTAAGGTCGGAAGTTTTATGCTCTCACCCCCTAGGATTGTTCTATACCGAAAATAATTATACTCCTAATTTTTTTATTTTGAAATCAAAAATTGTTTAGAGGTCGCTCAAAGCGCCCAAAGTTTTCCATGTATTTTATAAGGGGAAAAAAGAACCTTTCGTAGAAATGGTATAGAATTCTAAAAAAACAATATTTTTCTATCGGAAAACTCTTTCCATCTGCAGAAGATTCCTAACAATAATACCCGATTGTTTATTTAACCATATATTCATCGCAACTATAATTTATTGTTCCGCCAAACACCCACAAAAACACCGAAAAATGCAATGGCGGGACAAATAAAAAATCGTTAGTATTAAAAAATGGTTAAATAAATAATGGGGTTTTATTATTGTAAGTCTCCTAAAGAGAGCCAGAGTTTTCCGATCGAAAAATATGGACTTTCAAGAATGCTATACCATTTCTACGAAAAGTTGTTTTTTCCCCATATAAAAATGCATGGAAAACTTTGAGCGCCGTGGGCGACCTTTAAATATATTTTAATTAAAAAAAAAAAATGGGGTAAATTTTTTTCGATATAGAACAATTCTAGGGGGTGAGAGCATTACAATTCCGACTTTACTGTTTTTGGTCCATCCTAATGTACATACATACATACGTAAGCTAATCACGCGCAATAACATTCTTTACGTGTTTCTTATATTTTAATGCAATTCGAATTAGTACACGGAAAGATTAATTCTGAAAGGGCGTTTAAAATTGTGACTGCTCGGAACAACATGTGAAACTACGTATATTTGTATGTACATACATATGTATAACCTAATAATTACTTATTAGGTGCTCTCATTTAATTCGATTTGTCTTAATTGCCTGCTAACTACAGCAATTATAAAACGAAATTCCGTAGAAACATCCAACGTTTAAATGTTTTTTGTATGAATGTAAATAAACTATTTATGCGCAGTTAATTAAAAAAAAAAAAATACACACGAACGATAATCATTTTTTCTCTCACCCTGGAATGCCAGTTAAAAATTGTAAACTCTGTATTTGCAACTAGTCACTTAAAAATGATTGGCCATTAAAGTAATTTGTTAAGAATATTGCGATAAATATTATGACAGTAAATATGAAAGCATAATTAATTACAGAATTACTAGAAATGTAGGGAATGAAGGTAGTTAAGCAAACGTTTTATTTATTCTCATAATAGGCGTGTTTTATTTGACGAGAAATTTAAGCTATTCGCTAATTTTGTATGGAAGGCTTAGCTAATAGCTTAAATTTCTCGTCAAATAAAACACGCCAATTATATATACGTAAGTACAAATGCAGTAAATGTACATATAGTATTTATAAAAAAATAACCCCTATTTTTTATTTTGAAATCAAAAAAAATATTTAGATGTGTTCAAAGCACTCAATGTTTTCCATGTTTTTTATATGAGGAAAAAAAACAACTTTTCGTAGAAACGGTATGGAAAAAATCCGATCAATTGATAACATCCTCCTTTTTTTGTAAATATATAGTATTTATAAAAAAATAACCCCTATTTTTTATTTTGAAATCAAAAAATATTTAGATGTCGTTGAAAGCACTCAATGTTTTCCATGTTTTTTATATGAGGAAAAAAAATAACTTTTCGTAGAAACGGTATGGAAAAGATCCGATCAATTGATAACCTCCTCCTTTATTTGAAGTCGGTTAGAAAGATAAGAATTAACGAGGTAAATTTTTATAAATTTTTTAATAGCTATATTTTAACATTTCTAATAAAGTTAAAAAATATTTTCTTAGTTGCAGTTCATTTTAAATTTGTGCTTGTGGTTGAATGAACAGAAGTACGTACGACGCCGCCTATAGCCTGCAGCGTACGGCTTCTGGTGCATATGGATATGCCAACTGCTGTACACATAGGAAGCTGAGCAGATGGGCATTGGTGTGAAGCGTCTCTGCCCAGACCAACGTACCCTTCAAAAGCTATTTTTTAAAAAGAGTTCTTCTCACGAATATTTACTTAATTTTTTATTTTTTTTTTGATACGATAAAGTAGAAAACACAAGTTAAGTCTAGTATGCAGCTCTCAAGAAAAGCAAAACCTCCATATAAAATGATGCACAAGAAATGGCTAAGAAATTTTCTAGTGTCAAATTTCCCTAAAGGTGTTCTTACACGATATGTATTTGCATCTGTAAATATGACTTTCCTACATACATATGTAATTGCATATGGCTGTCAAATTCACAGTTTTTATATAACTATTTAAAAATACGTTCTTTGAAAACGAAATAAACTAAACTCAGATGATTCTATTTGTGTGTCAGATGAAAATAGAAACATTTCTGTTTCGTATGTACGTTCATCTGCTTTGTACAGAAACAAATCTAATTTGCCTCTACACGATATGTTGGCATTTCCATATGTAAAAAGTGGCATGTACACATACAAATACATATCGTGTAAGAACACCTTAAGGCAGTACGCAGTTCTTAAGAAATTTAATACGCTTTCTACTATGGTTTTCCAAAGGTTTTTTGTGAAAAAAGAGCACAACCCTTGCTTGCGACGAGCTTGAAAAGAGTGAGGCTGGTGAAGTATCAGATGTCAAAATTTCTTGGACACCGACACACGAATTAATTTAAATTTTTTTCTTAACCATTTCCTGGAGAGCTTCATACTGGCCTTTAGTTTGATAACATCAAGTTAGTGATCAAAGTTCGGAGCTACCTACGAGAAATCGCTTAGATTTCTAAATAAAGCAACAAACGTTTGTTTTACGCGCATACAAGAGCAGTACTTTCTTTTTAAAAATGTTTCCTCTGCCAAAGTTATAATGCAGATAAAGCAAAGAAAATCATGCACAGTATTTTCTTTCGATTGCATCAATGAGTTTCGCGCAAAAAATATACATAATACAGACGTGCCAAATGCTATACGCCACACACTAAACGTCGAGTCACTTGGGGCTTTTGATTGAGGGGCAAATGAGGGGGAAAATGAAAAAAAAAAATAGTTGGACAACTGCAGTGATTGAGAGTATCACTATTTGATTTAATATATTTGTATGTACACTAAGGTGAGCCAAAATAACTAGCCTAACGAATTTATGGCTTATTTACTGAGAAGAATATTCTGGCATTTGGAAAATTTTGATAAAAGAGTGTCGGTGGGCATTTCAAATTTTCCATGTAAATAACATATAAAAAAATTGTTTTAATTAAAAACTGTACAACTATTGAACCATTTGAGCTATTTAGAGAATATAATGTCCAATAAGAATATGCCTAGAAAAAATGTTTATCTGAAATTGTTATGTAATTATATAATTTTTAATGACAAAAAAAATGTTTACGTGTTATTTGCATAGAATATCTCAAATACCGACCGACACTTTTTAAAATTGGAGAAAAAATTTTTTCGAATGAGAGAATTTTCTTCTCAGTAAAAAGGTCCTTTTAAGGCCATAAACTCGTTTGGTTAGTTATTTTGGCTTAC